TCGTTGAGGCGGCGGCGGCGCAAGCTGACGAGCTCTTGGCGGCAGCACGCGCGGAGGCGGGCGGCGGCAAGGCGGCGCAGGAAGAGGGGCTGCTGCAGTTTGAGGCCAAACCTGCAAAGTGGTGGGCGTGCGCTGCAACAGCATGGCTACTGGCCGGCGCCTCCTGCAATTGCTGAGGATTGTGCAGATGCGCGAATCCCCACTCCAGCTGCGGCTTGATACCAAGACCAGCGGCTGGCCTTCGCATTGCCAACTCAGCGCGCGCACACTCGTCATTTCCCTGAACATCCCTCCCTCTTGACAAATTCCTCACCTTGACTCGATGGCCCTCACCAACCCCCCTCCTGTGCGCCCCCCGCCCAACAGGATTTACGTGCTCGACACCAGTGGCCGCCTGTACGTGCACGCCAAGCACCGCGGCAGCTTCCACCACAGCAGCTTCCTGCGGGGCGGCGCGGTGCTGTCGGCCGGCGGCATCGTGGTGAAGCAAGGTGCGCCAGGCAGGCCGAGCCCACGGCCGTGCGACTGACGCGAAAGTGGGGGGCCCTCTTGAAGGGCATGAATGCAGGTGTGATTGGTTGCGGTCTGGCAGGACGCCACGCCCGCGTCGCCGCCGGCGTCGCACCCACAGTGGCACGAGGGACACACGCGCGCCCTGCTCCCCCCCCTTGCCCCCTCCCCCACCAGGCCGCATCCTCAAGCTCACGGCGGACAGCGGCCACTACCGCCCCAACTTTGCCAACTTCATGGGGATGGTGCAGCTGCTGCGCGACTGGGGGGCGGACCTCTCAGCCACCAAGCTGAGCGCCAAGCACATCGACTGCCCTCTCTAATCTTTACACAGCGATTCTTGCCGCGATCTGGGGCCTCCCGGCGATCTGCTGGCGGCAGCCATTACGCAGGAGCGGTTCTGAATCGTGTTGTGCGCCGTGCTTGTTGATTACGCCAGGCGTCGGCGCCAGGTCCGACCCCCAAGCACTGCGTGCTGCTCTGCTACTCAATGATTGACAAGCGGCAATATCATGTGATGGCGGGAAGCTTCCCACGTCACGACAGGATGCGTTCCAATCGCCCCGGCCGATCCGACCGACCCACCCTCACCCAACGCTGTTCTTGGTTGCGCCTGGCGTTTGGCTGCCCTTCTGTACCCCTCCCGGGCGCCGCTCTCCGCGCATGCATGCGAGTGATCCGTGCCGGGGCCTGCGCCACCACACTCGGTAGACGTTGCGGACTCACTTGGCGTGATGCATACATTGCGCACTTGCAACCCTGACAACCCAACTCCGCCGGGCGCGTGCCTAGGGAGCGCTGTCAATCCTTTGTTGCTCATTGTATAAGCGTGCCGCTCGGGGCCGCGGCGGGTGTACCTTGTTTCCAGTGCTTGACAATTGTTTGGGTGGGCTGCGCCAAGATTGATGGCCGGGGATCGAGCACATCAATGATTTCAAGCATGTGCTTGCACGCACGCTGTAACCAGGCATCTATACGTTCTCAGTTTCATAGCGCCCGATCATGAGTGCTGCCAATTGCTTCATCCAGCGGCAAAAATGCAGCTGGCATCGCGGCAGCTGTGGCCGCCACTGCTCTTGCGGCGAAGCGCTGCGGCTGATTGGCGTGGCAACTATGGCCGCGTGGGGGAGCGGGCCAGCTCAGGCGCAAGCCTCAGTCTCTATGCCAGCCAAGCTGCGGTATCGCTGCTGCTTGCAATTCCGGCAGCAGGTGCGCATTGCTCGTGCTGCTTGGGGCGCGGCTGACAACCAATTACCCCTACCCTGCACGATGCAGCCGGACAAATTAGACGTGTTGGGTGGGCCATGGGCTAGTCAAACAGGCTGGAATGTTGCTGCGCGCATGCGCGCGTGTGTGCGTGCGTGCGTGTGTGTGTGTGTGTGTGTGTGTGTGTGTCTGTCTGTGCCCGCGCGCGTGTGTGTGGAGAAGCTGAGGCCATGCGCGCTATTCGAGGACCAGTGCTGCACGTGCTGCGTCGCCCAAGGTTGTTGCGAGGGCGGGTCCAGTCAGGACGGCATCTGGGACAGAACCTGCTGCAGCACGCATAGCGGCTGGCGTATCGTTGCATTAGAAGAGAACGTCTCCGGCGCTGCGGCACGAATGTTTTGTTGGAGTGGTTTGCAGCGCATGCGTACGCTTCACTGGGAGGTGGCCACCGACCGCGAGGGGCCACCAGCGACCCCCAGGTGCGCCTCAGCGGACGCGCGACCTTCCATCACAACACGTGGAATGGCCTTTGTCAATGCGTTGCCGCCAGGAGGGGGGGCCGCGCCACATCTAGCGGGGGGGTGCATGAGTGCGTGATGGGCGTGCTGTCCAGTGTTCGGCGGGAATGCCGCCGAAGTGCATGTCTAGTTGGCGAGCATCTGCGGCGTGAGATTAGACAGTTGGGGCGACTGCTATTGACGCAACCTGCTGTTGTGCAGAAGGGTTTTCATGTGCGTGTTTTTGTGTGCTTGGGTGACCCCGGGATGATGACACGTGTTGACCCGTCAGGCATGTTGACCACTGGAGCAGCGAGCGTTGCGCACAGCACTGCATGTCGCTGCAGTGACTCGTAATGAGCCATTCTCATCCGGGCCTGGACAGGGCGATTTCCCCGCAGATGGAGGCAGCATCAAGCCGCTTGTCACTTGCTGACACCATGTGCGCCAGCAGCACTGACACTGACAATGGTCTCACAACATCAGCACAGCAGAAAAGATGCATCGAAAAGGAACAATTCCGTCGACTGAACAGCGGCTGAAAGATCTTCTTCGGTGACGCACTGTTTTTCGTTCTGTGTACACGCTGATCAGATTCAATTGAACCCTGGTGAAAAATTAGCGCTTAAACAATGGCGCATGGCCGGCCAGGCCGAGCGCTGCTGCGGACGCCGTCCACGGACGCCGCAGCAGCGCTAGAAGTGGTCGTGCGGTGCCCGGCGGACGAACCCTATGCGCGCTGGCGCCCCAACCCCACCGTTGCGAAGATGCGGGCGCTACTGCTGTCGCCCAACCTGCAGCTGGCGCTCCAATTGGCGGTCGGCGCGCTGCTGGTCTCCATGTTCACTTTCCAAAGGTGTGCTGCCTGTGCTTGGGTTCCAGTGCCAGGGGCTTCGGAACACTAGACGGGCAGGAGGCGCCGGGCTGGTAGATGCTTCTCGCGCGAAGGCCACGCGCCTGCAGGAGTCCACCCTTAGCCCGAAGCGCGCGCCCGCAGCGACCGCCGACCAAAACACCCTGCTTGTTTGGGCCTGCACCCC